TATTTTATTATATTAAAAAAAAATCATTTGGTACATTATAAAAGTTAATTTTACTGTTTTAATATTTATCATCGCCTAATCACCATCAGAATATTGTTCTGGTTATTKAAGAAACCACATCTAACAATCTCCATTAATTCAATCCTACATATTTTTTAGAAAATTTCTTCCATGTTATGATTAATTCTATATTTTTACATCTGTATCTTGGCATTCCATAAAAGTCTGTTCTACTCGAATGATTTAAAATTACTTTTTATACATCAGTCATCCCCGTTGACCCAACTGATTTTATTCTCTTATTCCTCAAATATGATTTTGTATTATATTTCCTGTCAATCAACCATAAGGCTATATTTTTTTCATTTCATTTATAAAATATATATTTTTCGAAGAAAATAACTGTGCAGATTTTAAATTATGTTATTTTATCATTGCAACATTAAACATATTACATATTTAAACCTATTATTTTTAATAACAAATATTACAGTAAATAATAAATATAATGGATTTTCTTAATACATTTAAACACGCACCTCTATTTTACAACACTAAGTGTTTAATAGCGTGTACAAGTACAACTTTCAATTGTATTCGTAAAGTATTCAAAACGAGTATTCAGCTTGATATTTTTATCATTTTACTGCATCGATCTTAATCAATATGTATATATACAAATACATAATATTGCTTAAATTCATAAAATAATTTTTATTGATATTTCCAATGATTTTATTTTTTATAGGTATCTAAAATMTATATTCTATAGATACCTTAATATAATATATTTTAAGGTATAAGATAAAATAAGGAGAAGTGGAAACTTAATGAAATATATGTTAGTATACAATGTATACCTACTATAAATTAAGAGTATAGGTAATGTACTTACATAGCACATAGAAACTAAGAATTTAAGTTTTGAAATTGCCGTAGATTTAGACTTATTTTACTATTATACATTTTTAATCCAAATTCCATTAAATGTGGTATAATAATACAATTTTTAGAATCTTAAAGAAGATTATCTGAAGTTATACACAGACTGAAATAGACTGAGGTATCTATTTATATCTATGATTATTTAGAAAGATCATATAAACACTATTTTTTTAATTACAACAAAATAACTATAATTCTTTTTATTTGCTTAAATATACGTGTTTGTAAGAATTTTAACTTTAAATGTCTTTAAAAAAATTGTGCTCATGTATTTTTGATATTTTATTATTTCTATAACTAATAATTATCATAAATCGTATTGTAAAGCTTTTACACAATAGCTAAAACATTGTATCAATATTTTTAAGAACTAATTAAGGAAATCTCAAATAGCTTTAAAATAGTTCTTAATATTTTTAACATTTTATTGTGTATGGAAAATAATAAATTAAGCGGAACGTTTCAAGTTTCTTTAGTTAATATTTTTTGATATACAACAAAAACCATTAGAGTAGAAATAATTATTTTATGTATCCAATTTCGTAATAATTGGAACTTCAAGCGCATAATATGATTTCTTGTATTCAATTTTCGTGGTTTTTAAAAGTCATATTAAAAGCTGTTATGACGATAAATAAAAAAAAAATACGAAAATTTCAAGTCTAAATAACAACAAAAAAACAGTCAAATTATTTTAAAACTATATTATATCATGTATTTGTAGTAAATTATAATACACATATTTTATAAAAATTGGTGATGCGTAATCATTCCTTTTTTACCAGAATTTATTTAATTTGGAAAAAAATTCATATATGTATAAAAATAAAATGTGATTATTATGTTAAGTGTCTTCAGTCATACTAAACATCAAATTCAAATGTTAAACCAATACATTAATCAGAATCTAAAAGTAACATTTAATAAGTAAACCAAACGTATTATGGCCATTTACATAACAACAACTTCCTTTTCGGTTAAGTTATAGCAATAAATAATAACATTTAAAATATACACCTATAATGTACACCAATAATGCTGTACGTACGGTGGTGGCACCTAAATTTTAACTTTTGTTTATTACACATTTTATCACTCACCCATCATTGGTGCTGGCACACCTCCTRAGCCCTGGTTGATAATAAACAAAAACCGCCAACATGTCGTTAAACACTATAAATATTTAACCTACATAAGATACCAGTATACCACAACAAGATAGATATGAATGTAATCGTATCCCCATTCCACTTTTTTGACAATAGTCGTTAATGCCACGAAAACTATATTTGTATATTTTCTAGCCGGAAAATTTATTATTGGCTAGTAAAGTCAAAGGCGCTGCGGTGAAGTTGGCCGATTTTGGATTGGCCATCGAGGTTCAGGGCGAACAACAAGCGTGGTTTGGCAAGTGGAATAATTTGCTGAATTTTTTTACAGCGTTTTATTGTTAGTATGTCGTTTTTAGGTTTTGCCGGAACTCCGGGCTACCTGTCACCAGAAGTACTGAAGAAAGAACCATATGGAAAACCTGTCGATATATGGGCTTGTGGTTAGTTAATGTGAATATATTTTAGTCGTATGAAAATATTTTTTTAAATTTTACGTTTTACTTAGGCGTGATACTTTATATATTGCTGGTTGGATACCCGCCGTTCTGGGATGAAGACCAGCATAGATTGTACGCTCAGATCAAAGCTGGCGCTTATGATGTAAGTACAATATTATTGTAACACCAGCAATAATTTGAAACATTTATTATCCAATACATTTTTTATTTGAATCGATCTAAATTGAACTAGGTATTTGACATATATTAATAAATAACAAAAATAATTTAGTATACCTACTTACGGCCTACCTATAACATACCGGGTGATTCATTTATCATTGAACACTCATTATTACAAAAATAACTAATTTTTTTTACATAGTTTCAAGTTGTTCAAAAACCAACGTTTTTATTAAAAAAATGTATTTTAAAATATTGTTTATCCTAATCATTTTTTAAGTTTTTTTACTTTTTTGAATGACAACATAGAGTTTTAATTTCATATTCCAAAGCAGAATATTTTTCTAAGTACTTTGATTCATAAAAATCGAATTTAGG